AAATAAGAAAGACTGAAGAAGACTTAATGCCTTTGAATTATAGTGTTGGTGAAGAATACAGAAAATACCATGGACCGCCAGAATAATGAACAAATCTATCCTTCAACAAGTGCAGCTGTAATGTTCCTTGGAAGCAAGATGGCCAGACTTGATCTCAACTACTTTAGTCATATTGTCAGAAGGGAACATTCCCTGGAGATACATAACATGCTTGGTAAAGTAGAGGATCAGTGAAGAAGGGGGGATCCTCAACGAGATGGATTGACATAGCAGCTGCAACAACAAGCTCAAATATAGCAAGGATTGTGAGGATGGCACAACACCAGGCAATGTTTTGTTCTGCTGTACATAGGGTCTCTATGAGTCAGAGCCAACCCAACAGCACCTAACAACAAAAACAACAGAGTATAAAACACTATTTATTATCATAAGGCCTATACTTTGCTTTAAAATCAAGGGATATTTACCTTTCTACTTTCAATATAGCTAGGGAGCTCTGGTAGCATAGCGCCTAAGGTATTTGACTGCTAACCAGATGGCTAGTGGTTCAAACCCACCAACCACTCCTTGGAAGGAAGACTGGGCAATCTACTTCATGGAGATACTGCCTTAGAAACCCAGGGAGTGCTTGCTATGAGCCAGAATCAACTTGATGGTAGAAAGTTTAGTTTTCTTTGTTGTTGTTGTTGTTGTTATGTGCCGTCGAGTCGGCCCTGACTCATAGCAACCCCTCCTTGGGTTTTCTAGGCAGTATCACTATGGAAGTAGATTGCCCCATCTTCCTTAAGTATAGCTAAATGGTCTTGTTTATTATCTCCTGTGAAAGTTAGAATTTATTTACTTTATACAATGTCAATTAAGACACTGTCAACAAGGGTAAACCTGACAGAAGTAGAGAAAAAAGTGTAGTTGACTGCACATTTACTTTTCTTGACAAACTTGGGGGGCGGGGAGGTATTTGCTGAAGGGGCAAGGAGGCAGCCTTTTCTGACCTCCTCTAACTATACAAGAGGAACACAGAACACCATCAGCAGCCTGTTCTTATGAGGCCAGACATGCTGCCACCCTCCAGCCCCCTTACTAATCTTGTCACCAACTCTACGTGCCATGGAACCCACCATCTCTCTACTGGCAATTTGATAATTCACTGGAGTGGCTACACAGAACTCACAGATTATGGGGTTTATTAGGGAAGCAACATGCTATAATTGAAGTTCAGGAATGTGCTCAGTCTCTCTTAGCTGGCTGTCTCTCTCTCAGCTGGCATTCTTTCCCACTAGCATGTCTCTCAGCAGTGAATGTCTCTTGCAATCTCTCTCTCTGAGCAGTGAGTCTCTCTCATGTTTCTCTCTCAGCAGCACATCTTTCTCAGCTGGCAGTGAGAGTAATACTCTTCTGCCTCTAGGAGGGCTCCTTTTGAGCCTGGCAGAATGGCAAAGCTAACCAATCCCAACATCAGAATGCTATACACCTGAAAGAGAGCAAACTTCCCAGAAGATTGCTTTGTGATGCTCCGACAGAAATAGACCAAGTGGATAACTTTAACAATTAGCTACTCAGTTGCTCACGGCAAAGTGGGAATTACAAAGACTTCCGACTCGACGGCACATAACAACAACAACAACAACAACAATGGCTAGAAAAGCCGTACCACGTAATTTACTACACCGCAGTATTTTAAATGCTTTGTGATCAAAGTAGGGGGGAAAAAAAGCTGGATTTATTGATTTATTTTGGTAACATGTAGGTAAGTTACTGTTTTAAAAAAGAACGTTTCCATCCCATTTTATTCATAAGAAGATGATTGTGAAATCAAGTTTATTGGAAATCCTTTAATCTGGCTTTAGTAGTTCTGTTATCAATGAGCCCCCTGGATCATGCAAGCAATTCAAGGCTTCAAAAATGTATCCAGAATAGAGATGCATAATTGTGGTAGCCCATCTGGTCTGATTTTAGCTTCCCAGCATTTCTCTAAAGTCCTGTAAGAGCCAGGAGAAAGGGGGAGGGGGGAAAGAAAGCAGTTCCATTTAGCATACTTGTCAAGAAATGTGTTTCATAAATCTCTGTTGATGTTTTGGCTCACAAGACACAAAGAATTTGCATTCTATAACATTTGTTCCCAGTAGCAGTTAGTATATTGGCTGGAACAACCTCCTTCACTCTTTCTGTCTTTTGCTATTTTGGAATGGGGTAATGAAGACATGAGAGAGGCTTTCACTAGAAAGAAGCAAGTTAATGAATGATAGCAAGCATGTTAATGATTTGTGACTAATGGGAAAGTAAACTGAATATGCAAATAAATCCCCTCCTCCCTGTACTTAATAAACTGTAAGCGTCTTATGAGGCTTAGCTTTACAGGCATGTTGTTGTTGTTGGGTACCCTCAAGTTGGTTCTGACACATAGAGACCCCGTGTACAACAGAATGAAACACTGGTCCTTTGCTATTCTCACAATCTTTGCCATCTGCTTGAGCCCATCACTGCAACCACTGTGTCAATCCATCTTGTTGAGGGTCTTCCCTTTTTCACTGATCCTCTACTTTACCAGACATGGTATCCTTTTCCAGGGACTGGTCCCTTCTGACAACATGACCAAAGTAGATGAGATGAAGTCTGGCCATTTTCATTTCTATGGAGCATTCAGACTGCACTTCTTCCAGGACAGATTTGTTCATTCTTCTGGCAGTCCATGGTATTCTTTGCCAACACCACAATTCAAGGACATCAATTCTTCTGCAGTCTTCCTTATTCATTTTCCAGCTTTCACATGCATTATAAAGCAATTGAAAATACCATGTTTAGGTTAGGCACACCTTTGTCTTCAAAGTGACATCTTCGTTCTTTAACACTGTAAAGAAGTCCCTTGCAACCTATTTTCCCAGAACAATGTGATGTCTAATTTCCTTACTGCTGCTTCCGAGGGCACTGATTGTGGACCCAAGTGAAATGAAATCCTTGACAACTTAAATCTTCAGTCTTGATGATTGAAGATTTATAGACATATAATCTGTGAAATTGCATGGAGTCTTCCACTTACTTAGAAGAATCCATGCTTAATTTCATCTTCTGCTCTTGCCATCTTGAAATTTCTAATTTTCAAACAATGGGCCCTTGTGAATTTTTCATAAAATTTGCAGAAGTCTTGCAAATTATGTAGCTAGTACTGCCCCTCATTTTGAGAGATTCTGGTTAATTGTTTTATAACATCAAGAACTGTGCCTGGCCCTTAGAGGATGTGCCCAATAAATGTTTGTAGCTTGGATAAACTAATAACTTTTTAAAATAGTAAATATAAGCAGTTGACTTGAAACTTAGTCTAACTTTTCTAGAATAGAAAGTAGGAAAGAGGTACTAAATGTTCCAACATTAGGCACAGTAGTTATTAGTTAAACTTTATCTGCTTTTTATTTTTAAATAAACTATCTGTGGACCTCTCCTTCTCAGACAGAGTTGAGTCACTATCATAAATGTTCGATTCTTCTAGCACTGGTATATCTTTAGAATACCAGTAATAATATATGCTATCATACTGTGAACAAGTGTTTTAGTATTTATGTAAATGATTGAAATTTTATCCATCATTCTGCAATTTTCTATTTTCACCCACTTTCTTGTTTATAACATGCCCTGGTGGCGAGTGGTTAAGTGCTCAACTACTAACCAAAATGTTGGTGGTTCGGACATACCAGCCACTCTGCTGGAGTAAACGCCTGGCAATCTGCTCCCATAAAGACTTCAGCTTAGGGAACCCTATGAGGCAGTTCTACTCTGTTCTGCAGGGTTGCAATGAATCAAAATCGACTTGAGGGCAGTGGGTTTGCTTTTTTGTTTTTATCTTGTTTATAAAATCTATCCGTATTGATACATGTAGCTCTAGTTTATTCCCTTTCATTACTGATAGTGGTAATGAAATCCCCTTTCTTGATCTGCCAACCCACTTGGACAAAGCTGCTTAGAGCCAGATGAGTCTGTTTAAATTCTAGCTCCGCTACTAACTAGCTGGGTGCTATTGGGCAAGTTATCTTTTTGAAACTCAGTTTTCACATTTGTAAAATGGGATTAATAATTTTTACCATGGAAGATATTTTTATGATGTTGTTGTTGTTGTTGTTATATGCCGTCGAGTCGGCCCCAACTCATAGCGACCCCTCCTTGGGTTTCCGAGGCAGTATCACTACGGAAGTATGATTGCCCAACTTTCCTTCCGAGGAGTGGCTGGTGGGTTTGAACCGCCAGCCTTCTGGCTAGCAGTCAAGTGCCTTAGGCACTATGCTACCAGAGCTCCCTATGATAAGTACATGAAATAATATACGTAAAATCTAACATTTGGTAAAAGTGCAGGAAAAAAAAGTAGTGGGAATTATCGTTACTTTGCCATATACAAAATTTGAGTATTAGAAAACCTTAAACAAATATGTGACAGAGATCTTGTGTTTGCATTTTTTTCATTATACCCTTAGTTGGGCTAATGATCATGATTCTTCTTTGTAAAGAAAATTTCACCATTAAAATGTAAGATCCTGCATGCATCTTTGAGTTCGTCTTTTACACAATTAAACAAAATGATTTCTAATGTGCCTTCCACAGGGTAAAAGAAGGTTCTAATTCCTTAAAATTATGAAACTACAATATTTTAATATTTATAAAAATTATTCCTGTGTCCTATTTTATGTGTAATTACAGGCAAAAAAAGAATATCTAGTGTTTTCTATCTTTCATTTTGCAAAGTAGCAAAGGATAAAACAGAGGGGTCTGGAATTCTTTCAGACCATAGCTGTGCTCCTCCACAGACCCCTAGCTTGCAATTAGATATGAAAAGCTGAAGTACACATTAAGCTACTTTTTTTTTCCATTTTCTCTGCAAGTCTTTAAAAAATTTGAATGGAAGCCAATATTAAATATAGTCATCTGAGTAGATGGAAGTCAGGAACGCATTGAGAAACTTGAAATAACATTCTAAATCTGTGATTGTAAATTGTTATATTTTAATTATTCAACAGATTTTATACAATTCGCTATAGAGAAAAGGATAAAGAAAAGAAATGGATTTTTCAGCTCTGTCCATCTACTGAAACAATTATAGAAAATCTAAAGCCCAATACAATTTATGAGTTTGGAGTGAAAGACAACGTAGATGGTGGGATTTGGAGTAAGATTTTCAATCACAAGACTATTGTTGCAGGTAAGTACTTGGAATTATCTGTTTCAATAAACTTTCTATAAGTGTTGTCAATTATTTTATGAGTTGTGTAATATGAACCAAGTGATTCACATGTTTTAATATTTGAGAAAATTCAAAAGTCAACAAAACGTGCAGAGCAGTGATATTTCAAAATCACCAGAGAAAGTTTATTTCCTTTTTTATAAGCAATGAACTAATATTTGATGCCTTCATTTATAACAAATCTTTGGCCATTTTAGTATTTTTAAATCAATCCCTGATCTTGAACCAAAGAAACAAACATTTGTGTAAATGTTCTGAATGGAAAGCTGGGCCCATTAGAAGGGAGGTAAAAAGACATTGGAGAGCGCTAGTCTTCTATCAGTAATCCTGCATTCAAATTTCATTGGTCAGTGTTTGAAGTGATAGGAATGAAAACAGTATGTCCAAGTTAGAGAAGGAGTTGTAGTTATCTTTATAATGATACTTCAGGATTCTTTAGGAGCAAGAAGATTGAAAATAATGTCATATCCTTCTCATTTTATCAGGTAAAAAAGTAAATGGGAAAATCCAAAGTACCTCTGACCAAGTCCACCAAGTGGTATGTACCAATTTATTTTAAGAATTTTTTTTTTTAAATAAATGTGTTATTTTGGTTACCAAGTGCCTGTCTGACAGGAATCTACCACAAATGGGATGGCTTAAAGAAATAGGACTTTATTCTCTTACAGTTTGGAGGCTTTAAGTCAGCTCAAAGTGCCAGGTTCTAGGGGCTGGGTGAAAGCCCCTCAACCTTGGACTTCAGCTCTGCCTCCTGTTCCTAGCCCACTGAAGCTGGAGGCTTTTCTTCACTCAGACAGCTGCTAGCTGCTGAGGCTGACAAGCCCAAGGTTGACGAGTAAAAAGACACAGTCCCATATGAGAGAAAGAAGGGCTGCTTATGCACAGGGAGACAGCTCAGGGGGCAGGAGTGCATGGAGGGATGGACACTGGGAAGAGGTAACTATGGGGAGGAAGTAAGAGGGGAGCTGTTGCATTGTGGTAAATTGTGGTCAATGTCATGAGACAAAGTGTATGTGAACTGCTATATGGAAAGTGTGGTAAATTGTGGTCAATGTCATGAGACAAAGTATGTGAACTGCTATATGGAAAGTGAATTTGTTCTGTAAATCTTCACCCAAATTACAATTAAAAAAAAAAAAAAAAAGGCACAGTCCCTATGTTACCAAACCACACAAAAAACCAAACTGAACTCACTGCCATGGAGTAGGATCTGACTCATAGTGACCCCTTGAGTGTCCCAAGGTTGGCAGAGCATGGCAGGCTGCTGAACAATGACACGGCCACATGCAGGATTCAAGTGTGCCATAAGCTAGAGACCATTCCCAAAGCTGTTTCTTATATACAGGAAGCAGACCACATCCCTAAGGCAGCTACTCAGCTGCTCACGGTAGAGTCCGCCATGGAATTGATTACCCATCTCATCATGGGGAATGCTACATCTAGCTCCCTAGCCACTCAACCAGGCCTGGCCAAGTTGACACACAAACATAACAACCACATGTGTGCACTGTACTTTTTATTTAAATAAGGAAGTAGCCCTATTATAAAATACTGAAACTTTGTATTAACTGTCCAGCTATGGGATATTGGGTAAAAATACTTAATGTTTTAGGAATTAGTTTCTTAATCTGAGAAAAGAATGGTGAAAATATGAGATCAAATCATCTGTAATTTGTTTAAAGTTCTAAAATTGTGAGATTTGATATGGTTATTTCAGTGTTTCAATATTCTAGGCATTTTGAGTTTATGCTTATTATCTTCTATCCTGTGGATTATTCATTAATATACCATGTTTCAAGCATGACTTAGGAGGCTCAGTTGTGCAGTGTCTAAAGCATTCTACTGCCAACTGAAAAAAGGTCAGTAGTTTGAACCAGCAAGCTGCTCTGAGGGAGAGATAGAGTAGTCTGCTTCTGCAAAGATTTTTAGCCTTGCTTGTGTTACAGATTGAACTGTGTCCCCAAAAAAAAAGTTATGTTGGAGTCCTAACCTCTGTACCTGTAAATATGCCCCTGTTTGGAAATGTTGTTGTTGTTAGGTACCATCAAGTCAGCTCTGGCTCATAGAGACCCTATGTACAACAGAGCGAAATACTACCCTGTCCTGTGCCAGCCTTGCAATCCTTGCTATGCTTGAGGCCATGTTTTGGAAAAAGGTATTCTCTTTTTATATTAATGAGGTTATTCCAGAGTAGAATAGATCCTAAACCTATTCCCCGAGTGATGTCTTATAAAGAGAAGAGAGGCACACAAGAAAATTCCACAGATGTAGCAAAATGCCAAGGATTACCAGCCGTCACCAGAAACTAGGAAAGAGGCCCAAAAAAGTAATTAACACAGCTTGTTCTGGTTACCTAGTGCCCGTCTGACAGTAATATACCACAAATGGGATGGTTTTAACAAACGGCAGTTTATTCTCTTACAGTTTTGGAGGCTAGGAGTCTGAGTTCAAAGTGCCAGGCTCTGGGAACTGGGTGAAAGCCCCTCAACTTTGGGCTTCAGCTCTGCCTCTTGCTCCTGGCCCACTGAAGCTAGAGGCATCTCTTCACTTGGGTAGCTGCTGGCTGCAGAGGCTGACAAACCCACGGTCAGCAATGAAAAAGGCACAGTCCTGATATTATCAAACCCCATAGCAGATCCGAGTCCATTAAAGTCCCAAGACCGGCAGAGCATGGCAGGCTGCTAAACAAGTTGGCTATATGCTGGGTTCAAGCATGCCATAAGCTGGAGAGAGACCTTCCTCAAAGTTGCTTCTTACATACTAGAAGCAAACCACATCCCTAAAGCAGCTACTCAGCTGCTCCAATAAATTCCACCATCAAGTTAATTACCAGTCTCACCATGCGGAATAACTACATTCAGCTGCCACACAACCAGGCCCAGTTGACATACAAACTTAACTACCACACAGCTAAAAACCTGTTTTGGACTTTGAGCCTCTAGAACTGTGAGAAAATAAATGTCTGTTCCTTAAAGTTAAGGAAAAAAAAAAAGAAAAAGAAAAGATTTACATCCTTGGAAATCCTATTGGGCAGTTCTACTCTGTCCTATAGGGTTGCTATGAGTTGGAATCGATTCAACTGCAGTGAGCTTGGTTTTGGTTTTGAAGAATGAATTGCTAATATGCTTTAGTTATGCTTTGTTGTGTGCCAAATTGATTCCAACTCATAGCAACTTTACAGTTCAAATATTTTCTCTCTATTCCAATCACTTTCACATCAAAAGACTCACCCTTTTCAAAACAGTGAAGCAATTGGTTTGGTTATTTAACATACTCAGACTCTATTAAGACCTGTGAATGTTTATGTATTTTATACCAGATACTTTCCCCCAAGTCTAGACACTTTTTTCTCTCTCACTTCAGAGATTCAGTCCCTTGCACTTTTCAAAATCTGGTGTCAGGAAGCATCATATTAGTTATGTGCTACTTAACATAAACATAGAGGGCAATGGTAGAATTCTTGCCTAACATGTGGGAGATCCAGGTTCAATTCCCAGCCAGGATACTTCTGGTGCTGCCACCACCTGTCTGTCATGAAAGGCTTGTGTGTTGCTGAGATGCTGAACAGGTTTTAGTGGGACTTCCTGAGTAACACAGACTAGGAAGAAAGGCCTGGTAATTTACTTCCAAAAATCAGCCACTGAAAAAAAACTCTACAGATCACAACTGTCCAACCCTTTGTGCATAGGGTCACTGTAAGTCAGGAGCTGACTCAACAGCAGTTAACAACAACTATAAGAGTATAAATATAAGCCATTGTTATTTATGGCCATCAGAAAGGTGTTTCCATTTTAAATCACATATCCAACTATAAAATGAAAGAAGTTATGCTAATGGGCAGGTGGAGGAGGCACTTTGGTGAGAAGGAATTTGGTGCTGGCTTTAATCACTAAGTATTAGAAGTGTTCACCCAGGAAATATCCTATGGTCAACTGAACATGCGGAGTCTGTGATTGCATATTTGCTTCTTTCAATGATGTATGTGGATGGATAGCTTTTAATGTCTAATCCATAAAGTATGTGATCCATAAAATATACAATTGATTATGTAACCCAGTTTGAAGTGAAAGTAGAACATACTTCACTGGGCTTAAAAAAAAAAAAGAATTTTTTTTTTTTTTCAGTAAATGGGCTTGGATAGAATAAAAATGACTGAGATTGAATACTGATGAGGTAAATGTTTCTGTTGTTTGAATTGGCAGAAAAGTGTGTACATTGTGAAATTATTATCAAATCATGATTATCAGAGTATTATGATTGACCAGGAAAGTATTCTGATGTATTTCAAATATTAACAGAAGAAAGGAGGTTGCCTCTGGTAAATTCCTAGGCCTTTTTTTTTTTTTTTTTAATTGTTTTTCTTGTACATTTTCTTTGTTTCCCTAATTTCCTATATTTAAATATTTGGAACATACAAAAATGATAAAAGAAATATTAATAAAATTACCTATACCTGTTAAACATAAACTATTATAAAACCACTTATGATCTACTGTCAAACCGCCAGCCTTCTGGTTACCTTTCAAATGCCTTAGGCACTACACCACCAGTGCTCACTGTTAAAGTGTAGGATATTTTATTTTTCTGTTTTCCTAAGTGTGTTTTCTTTATAGTACGGAAATTGTACCACATATGCAATTTTATATCTCACTGTCTTCCCTTAGCAAAAATGTAGTATACCTAATTTCATGTCATTAAGTGCTCTTTCTAAACATAAATTTAATTGCTACCACCTCAGAAACCCAAGGAGGGGTCACTATGGGTCAGGTCCGACTCCGCAGCACATAACAGCAACAATAACATATCCCATAATCTGAATACAGTATAATCTACCTAATCAGTTTCCAATTTGTAAACATTTAAGTTATTTCTAATTGTTTTTAAATTGTAAATGATCTTATGGTAAACACAAATTATCATAAATCTTTGTTTACATCTCTGTTTCCTACAGATAGAGACCTAGAAGGGACATTGACAACTTAGATTAACAGTTTTAAGGCTTTCTAATACGTATGATGAAATTGTGTTCCAGAAAGCTTGTGTCAATTTATAATCTTGTCATCACTGTATCAGATGGCAACATTATATATTACCATCCCTAAGTTTTTGGCTCGGATGGAAGATGGGGCAATCTACTTCCGTAGTGATACCGCTTCCGAAACCCAAGGAGGGGTCACTATGAGTCCACCGACTCTACCGCACATAACAACAACAACAAAGTTTTTGGCTACTATAATAGTTTGAAATAGTTATTTTCATTTCTATTTCTCTAATTGCTGAGAAAGCGGTACTTTTTTTTCATTTGTTTCTTAGTCATTTGTTATTTTTCATTTAATTACCTTTAGTTCCAGGTCTTTGTTTATTGGACTTCTCATGTTTTCTATTGAATAGTTGACTTTATAGATTAAAGAACATTGACCCTTGGTCAAAAAATGTCTAGGAGCATTTTTCTCACATTTGTTATCAACTAATTTTGTTTATGGGAATTTTTGAAATATCAATGTCTTGAAATTTGCTTAATCAAAGTATTAGTTTTTA